CCTGCACAGTGCAATCCCTTTGGAGATCCGAGATGAACGATAGCCCTCGAGGATAGCATTGCAAGAGGCGAGAGCAGCATTGGCAATCGGGAAATTCCCAGATGTACCGGCAACAAACTCTTCGTCTCCTGTAGCGCCGGACCTCTCGTTGTCAACAATGGGTTCTTGACCTTGATTTGGATTGACTGTTGATGGATTTGAGTCTCGTTCTCCAACTTGAGCGTTGGATTGTCGTGTGGAATTTGTCTCAGCAGCAGAACCAGAATTAGGAGTAATAACAGCTTCATTGCTCGTAGACATAGAAAGTGTAGTGATTGAAGATGTTGAAAAGATCTGATGCAGCCGTAGGTTGAAAGGTAAACGCGCAAACGAGAGCTAACCGATAGCAAGCTCGAGTGGAGGTAAGACGAGGGAGTTGTCTTACAACTTGAGGTGGCTCCCCCCGTGGGTGAGTCTCAAGTATACGGCTCGCCCGCACTGGAAATCGCTAGTCTCCGAGACTAGGAGTATCTCGGGGAGAGGAGAATATTTCGTCCCCAGGCACCCGTGCGCCCCGATTAGACTATAGTAAAAATATTTTTAAACTCGATTTTGATGGATTTATCATTGGAGGGTTATTTGCGTAGGTTAGGATTGAGGGCTGTGGTCACATGGGGTCACTGCTCACCCTCACATCTCACTTGCATTCGCGCTGATGTTTGAACCTGTTCGAGGTGGTACTCGTGGTGGACAAGCAGAGTTCAAGTGGACAGACGTCTCGGCCGACAAAGACAGAGAGGTTCTTAATTTCTGAGCCCCATCTTCCTTCCTCAATTGACCTCAATTACCTAGAACTACCTTGGCCACAGCATAAACGCGCCAACTGGCCGATGGCAAAAGAACAAGGATGTCCATTGGTACAGTCGTGATTTAACACAAGCAGAGTCAGAGAGGGTAGAGGAAGTACGAAAGATTAAAGAGTTGGAAGCCGACGCTCTTGCCGTTGCTTTGTGTGTTCTTCTTCCTGCTTTCCCTCTCGCTATTGACTAATTTACATCAAGAGGCTTTGAGCCGGCACCCAAAACTGCCAAACCGAGCGAAAGCGTTGCTTCATCTCAAGATGCGGCGGAAGGACAGGTCGTTCCTTCGGAGAAAGCTGCTGAAAAAGAAGAGCGACGAAGGAGGAAGGCGGAGCGGAAGGAAGAGAAGCGAGCGAGGAAGGAGCTGAAACGGTTGCATCGCAATGGGGTGCATGACGGAGACGTTGCATTGCACGATGACGGTCACCGTCGTTCATATCGAAGTTCCCGTTCGCGATCTCCCAGACCTCGTGTCACGGAACGTCAGGAGCAATATTCACGAAGACCTCGAAGCCGCACTCGAAGTCGGAGTCGCACACCTGTACGTGAAAGGCCTGGTCGACGGATGGAGGAAAGCAGATATGGTCCTTACGAACGACATGGAAGGATAGACTCTGATCGTAGGAGAGATAGATAGTTTGACGTTCACACTTGCCCTGCTCATGAACTGCAATATAATATTTTTACATTTTGCTCTGAATACTACACACATGCCCCACGATTTACGCTCCAGCTTTCCAGTAAGCAATATCACCATCTACCACTAAAAAAAAAATAGACTGAGCGTCACGTTTCAAGATGCGAAAAAATGGCCGTTGGCATACTTTCGTAAGGTTTCCCCTGTTGCCTCAACTTGCCAGCTGCCTTGACAGCAGCTTCAGTTCCATGTTCCTTCAGGTCATCGTACGACATGATTTCTCCGCACACAAATTTGTTCTCGAAGTCGGAACTGGGGGTGATGGGTCAAGAGCTGCT